CGTGAAGGGTTTCACAAAGGTGTACGGCGCCGACTACGACGAGACATACTCACTGGTGAGCAGCTACATTATGCTGAGGAACTTCCTCAGCATCGTCGCCGCTCTCAACCTCAGCCTGATGTAGCTCCTTATGAACAACGCCTTCTTGCAGAGCAAGCTCGACCGGGTGCTGTACATGTACCAGCCGGACTACTTCGACGACGGGACCGGTAGGGTGTGCAAGCTGCCGAAGAGCCTCTACGGGCTGAAGCACTCGCCGTTGCTGTGGTACAGGGCTCTCGACGGAGTGCTGCTTGGGGCTGACTGGAAGAAGAGCTAGGTCGACGAGGCGCTCTACTTCAAGGTCGGCGACGAAGGGATGACCTACTCGGTGCCGGTCTACGTCGACGACATCCTCGCCGCCAGCAGCAGCACCACGATGCTGAAGGAGCTGAAGGAGCTGCTGGAGGACGCCTTCGAGCTGCGTGAGATCTCCCCGGTTGTCAAGTACCTCGGGCTGGAGGTCGTGCGCGACAGGCCCGCAAGGAAGCTGGGGCTGCACCAGCAAGGCTACGCCGACAAGCTCCGTAGGTGCTTCATCGACGAGGAGCAGGGCGGTTGGATCCCGAATATGCCTATCTCGGTCGACGCCTACGCCGAGCTGACATTCAACGACGAGGAGGCGCAGGAGCGCGAGGAGGAGGAGTACCGGCAGAAGGTTGGCTCGCTGGTGTTCGCGGCGACGACGACGAGGTCGGACATCGCGGTTCGCCTGCAGCAAGCTGGGGAGCGGCCTTATGGTGAGGAGCGACCAGCATGAGCGCAAGGTCGATCGCTGCCTTCCCTACCTTGATGACACCTGCGACACCGCCATGGAGTTTGGTGGTGGACCAGAGTCGCTGGAGCTAATCGGCTACACGGATGCCGATGACGCGGGCGACTAGCAGAATTGGGCGAGCACGGGCGGCTATGTGTTCGTCTTCGAAGGTGCCGTGGTCTCTTGGTCGAGCCAGTGCATAAAGTGCGCGACGCTCTCCTCGACCGAGTCGGAGTACGTCGCGGCCATGGACGCCTGCAAGGAGGGGCGTTGACTTCGCTTCCTCCTTGCAGAATTCAAGCTGCTTGACCCTGGAAAGCCGACCGTCCTCTGCGTAGACAGCAAGTCGGCAATTATGGTCTCTGAGGGCTTGGGGCCGATAGGCAACCTCAAGCACATGGAGCGACGCTACGCCTGGCTACAGCACATGGTGAGGCGCGGGATGTTCGTGCTGAAGTACATCCCGAACTCCGAGCAGCCGGCCGACTTCCTGACGAAGGCGCTAAATTTTCCGGCTTTCAACCGGTGCTCTGTCGCCATCGGCCAAGTTCGTCTGGCCGACGTCGGCGATGGCGTTGATGATGTGTAGCAGTAGGTGCCGTGCCCTCTTGCACGGCTAGTGCAGTGTCAGCATGTTATATGTGGGGTGCACGCCGAGAATGAGTTTTCTCCGTGGAGTACTGCCGTGTGAGCGTGGCAGGGGAGTGTTAACGGGAATAAAATGTTGGCCCCGCCCTTGCTTGGGCAACGCCGACAACTTGGTCGGATGTACGGGAGAAGCAGCCGACTGTTCACAGTGAGGGAGATGCTTGACGGGCTTCGTCGAGCTTCATGGTGTCACTGTGGGGTTGCCGTCGACCAGGGGTGCTCGACGGGCGCATCTGACTGGGCTGGGCAACGGGTGGGCCGTCCACCAGGAGTGCCGATTCGACGGGGAGGTCGAAGGAGCAGTTCGTCAACCTGACATGTGAGCAGCGGTCGACGAGGGGAGCTCAGCAACATCAGCTGTCAGTTCTGCTCGATGGAAGGGGTCCGTCGACCAGGGGGCAGCTCGACGGGAGCTGCGGTCGACTAGGGCACTTGGTGATCGACCAGAGCACCTGTGGTCGACCAGGTCGACAAGGTAACCTACTCGGCGAGTTCTACGGAAGCATGTGAACATCGTCGAGGTCGCGATGGCAAAGACGACTTCGGGCCGGTATCCCAAAGTCGATGTGGCTCGTCAGGTGCAGACAACAGCCGACGGATGCACAGAAATGCAAGTCGGGCCAATCGTCTGCACGCACCTGTGAGCGTGCGCACTGCTGCCAACTATGAGTGCACCGCTGGACAGCCATATTGCCACAGTGTTGGCACGCCATTGACCTGCAGTGTTGGCAGGTCGCCTTTCTGCAGTGATGGCGCGGCTCCTCTACGCAACGTTGGCAGGCGGCCGACCATGCAGTGCTAGCGGCCGACTAGGCTAGCTGCAGAGTTGCTAGGTGCCTGATGTAGTCATTGCTGTCATTCCTTGTTGATTCATTCTGTAATTCTCAATTTTGCTAGTGGAAACTCTTGCCGGTCTCTCCCGTGAATGTGCAATGAACAAAGCAAAGCTATGATCACTCCTAGTAGTTCGTGCCGACCCCCATGGTCTAGCTCACTACCTTTGTAGAGTGTCTCTCCGCATGGTGCGGTGAGTGTGGATTGATATGGGTTGTGCACTTGGGCATGGCTCAATCCAGGGATGGCTACTTTGGGACCCATTCACCAAGAAGTTCTTGGTGAGCACGGACTGCAATTTCATGGAAAACCTGATATACAAGGATTGGAAGGCGGAAAATGAGGCCCAGATAGGTGTGCGGTTTGGGGAGGTGAAGAGTTTCGGCTTGGAGCATGTGGAGCTGCCTTTGGAGTTGAGCAGCGCCATCACCATCACAAGGCAATCTCCTCTTGTGAATGGGGGAGAGGAGGCCAAGAATGGAGAGAAAGAAGATGAGGAGGTGCAGCAAGAAAGCGAGCGTGCACCGACACTTTCTTCTCGCACTACGAGCGCTCCACGGATTCGGGTCACTCCGCAACAACGTCAAGATAGCCTTCAGGTCCCTGCAGCTGAGCAAGAAAGGGGTAAGAGGGGAGTTCAAGCCCCTAATAAGCTGCCATATGATGCGCCGGGAAAGTCGAGCAAGTCAGCCTTGATTGGAGCGGCAATGATGGTTAGAGATGACAAGGAAAGTGAGTACAAGGACTGTGCCTTTGCGTTCTTCTCTCCGGTGGAGATGCTTGGGAAATCAACAACTCTCAAGAAGGCCTTGGAGAGTAGTGATGCTGAGGAGTGGAAGAAGGGAATGGAGAGTGAGCTGAAGAGCATCAAGGATAACGACATGTGAGAATTGGTGGAGCTACCAGAGGGGCGTAAGGCGATTACGTCCAAGTGGCTCTTCATGATCAAGTCGGACGCCGATGGCAAGATCGAGCGCCACAAAGTTAAGGCTTGTAGCCAAGGGGTACCAGCAAAAGGAGAAGGTGGACTACAAGGAGTTGTTTGTTCCTGTGGTCAAGCCGACGACCCTGCGAACCCTACTCGCGTGGGCTACCATCAAAGGATGGGTGTTGAAGCTGATGGACGTGACAACCGCGTTCCTCAACGGCATTCTCGAATAAGAGATTTTCATGGCGCAGCCAGAAGGGTTTGATGATGGCAGTGGCAGAGTTTTGAAGCTGAATAAGGCCCTCTATGAGGTGAAGCAGGCTGCTAGGCGATGGTACTTGAAGCTGTGGAAAGTGTTTAAGGAGATCGGCTTCGCTCCCTTAACGGCCGACCACTCCTTGTTCATGCTTGGCGAGGGGGAGCAGAGGAGCTTCATGGTAGCCTATGTGAATGACATCCTTATCTTCTCACCCTCCTCTGACCTTAAGAAGGAGGTGATGCTGAAGCTTCAGGACAAGTTCAAGAGCAAGGCACTTGGCAACGTGAACTTCTACCTCGGGCTTCATATCGAACATGGAGAAGCGGTACATGCGGGTGCATCAACGCAAGTACTTGGAGGCCTTTGCTGCCAACTTTTGGCAGGGTGAAGGCCATGTGGCTACTTCATTCTCTTTTGGGTTCAAGTGTGTAAAGGGACCAGAAGAGGGTGTTGGAGAAGAGGAGAGGCGCCGATTTCACTTGTTGGTGGGCAGCCACATGTACGCGGCGGTAAACACTCGAACGGGTTTCACCTTTGCTACCAGGCAACTGGTTAGGGCTGTGCAATTCCCTAATGAAGAGCAGGTAGCAGCTGGAATGGGGGTGGAAAATTATCTTGGCCAAACACCAACTGTTGGGCTGCAATACTCAGCGGCGACGCAAAGGCGCCAAAAGAGCGCGGATGGTGTTGAACCCGGACGTTTGTTCCTCACTGCCTTCTCCGATGCCTCTTATGCATCGGAACTAGAGGACATGACAAGTGTGAAAGGCTTCATAAGTTGTGTTGGTGGAGGCCCAATTGCTTAGGAGAGCAAGAAGCAGGTGGACCAAGCATTGGGCTTGGTGGAGTCCGAGTACATGGCACTCTTCCGTGCCGTACGGGAGATTGTGTGGCAGCGGCATTTGTTGGCTGAATTGGGGGAGGAGCAGCAAGGATCTACCCTCTCTACTATGACAGCCAGGGTGTCATTGCACTTGCAAGAAACCCTGTGTTGCACGGCCTCGCCAAGCACATGAGGGTGAAATTGCATTGGACGAGGAGCATGGTGGCCGCGGGTGAAGTTGAGTTGAGCTATGTGAATACAACGGGGCAACAGGCAGACATGATGACCAAGAGGCTGGTGGAGCAGCAGCATTGGAAGTGTTGCAAGCTGGCTGGGATGGCTTTGAACTGAGAGAGCAAGATCCTAAGGCCAACAATCCGAGGGGAAGTTTGTTGGTGCAACCCGTGTTGTCCGTGTGCGTGCATGCGTGAGTGCATGGAATGGTATGAGGGCATGAAATAATACATATTTCATGCTTATTATACTGTGTGAATGATGAGTCATAATGTTGAATGTGTGTGTTGAGTCAATTGCGAGTTATTGCTAGTCGCGTGTCACGCGGTCGTTTGTGTCTCGTGCGCGGTTTCTATTTGTCGTGGGTCGAACGTTTGGCGTGTGTGCAGCAGACCCTTCAAGAACTCAAGAATGAGTTTCTCATGAAGAACCAGAGCCTTGGTTTCAAGATTCATGTGATCTCGAAGTCCGCGAAAAAATGTGTTGACTTCAATAGTGTGAATAGTTACATTTCTTTGTGTAGTGTAACATTTCACTTGGTGTAGGCCCTTGTAACTATGACAATGCCCCCCACTCACCTCGCCTCTTGCCATCCCGTTCCCCCTCTTGCCATCCAGTTCCCCCTCTAGCCATCCCGTTCCCCCTTGTGCCAATTCGTCCCCCCTCTTGCTATCCTGTTCCCCCTCTTGCCATCCTGCTCCCCCTCTTGCGATCCCATTCTCCCTCGTGCCATCCCGTTCCCCCTCTTGCCATCATGTTCCCCCTCTTGCCATCCCGTTCCTGCCATCCCGTTCCCCCTCTTGCCATCCCGTTCCCCCTTGTGCCATCCCGTTCCTCCTCTTGCCATCCCGTTCCTCCTCTTGCCATCCCGTTCCTCCTCTTGTCATCCCGTTCCCCCTCTTGCCATCCCGTTCCCCCTCTTGCCATCCCGTTACCCCTCTTGCCATCCCGTTCCCCCTCTTGCCATCACATCCCCCCTCTTGCCATCCCGTTCCCCCTCTTGCCATCCCGTTCCCCCTCTTGTAATTCCGTTCCCCCTCTTGCCATCCCGTTCCCCCTCTTGCCATCCCGTTCCCCCTCTTGCCATCCCGTTCCCCCTATTGCCATGGTGCCATGGTGCACACGCACTTCTATGCTCACTTCCCTCATCTATCCTCTAGCCCCTTATGCATATCATCCCCACCTCCTTCCTTCCCCTCCCCCCTCCCTTCTCTTCCCCCCCTCCCTCCCCCTCCCCCCTCTCCCCTCTCATCCCCGTTCAGCCCATCCCTGACACCAGTGCATATTGCTGGTGGAGGCCATAGGGGGCGTTGTATCGGTGGGGGCGTTGCCCCGATCCTCTTCTGGGGCATGTGGTGGTCTTGTTGGAGTAGGCTAGAGATTGCTCTAGCATTTATCATAATGTTTTTTTGTTGTTTCGCTATGTTTAGAGCGAGTTACACTTTCGGTTCAGTTTAGGCTAATTTAATAGTTTCCAGCACAAAATAAACACCCTCAATTCAATTAGGGTTTCCTACATTTGTATCTCGACGCTCGTGTTACTCAATTATTCTCTCTAGCCATGGCTCCAGGTACTATCTTAACAGGTCGCCCATCCCCTTCCGCACGCACCTCATCATTGTCATCGGCACTCTCATTGGCCAGGGTGACCCTGACCCCAACCCCTCAAAAGAAAGGGTATGTTCTAACGCATCTCATCCACAGTGCTGAAGTGGAAATGGTTGTTATAATCACAGTATGCTTCAATGTGCCTAAAACGGATGATAGATTGCGAATGTGGATTTCTGCACAGCGGATTTGAACGTTCATAGCGATCTGGTCACAGCTCGAAATGACCTGATTCAAATTGGATCTAGAGCGTCTTAACGTCGCTTATAACAAGCAATTTAGATCGCACGATTTCATTAAGAATTGTTGACACAGCGTGGGTTTGAACGAACGGCACTATGGCAGCCACTATAGTCTTATAACACACAATTAGGAAGAGTTAAGGAGTTGGGAATGACTCCCAGCTCCTACAAACCCCCAAGAGCCGAGGTACAGTGCCACACTGTCCCCAACCACGAAGAGTCTCGAAACTACCCTCCACAAGGGCCTACTCCAAGTAATATGTTACGCTACACAAATAATGTAACTATTCTCAATATCCCGAAGTGTACACAAACCAAGGCTCGAAATCACTTGGATCTTGAAACCAAGGCTCGGGTTCTTCATCACAAACTCATCCTTGAGTTATTGATGGGTCTGTTGCACACATCTGCGACATGCCGAACGTTCGACACAGGACAAAATAGAAACCGTACACGAGACACATGACAAAATAGAAACCGCGCGCGAGACACAAATGACCGCGTAACACGCGACTAGCGATAACTCACTATTGACTCGACACACACACTCGACATCATGACTCATTATGCACACAGTATTTTAAGCATGAAATATATATTATTTCATGCTCTCATACCATTCCATGCACACACGCATGCACGCACACGGACAACAAGCCGAGTGCAAACTGTAGGGTTGCACCAACAATTGTGAAGTGGCTGGGAGTGTGAGAGTTGTGTTTCGCTGATATAAGACGGACGCCGTGGGCACGTGCACCGAGGGGTTGATTAATTGGCGTCTCATGCATGCTTGCATAGGTGCATGCCTGCATGGGTGCATGGGTGCATGCCTGCACGTCTACATGAGTGCATGGTTGTTCGTGTTTGCAAGCTGTATCGTCTTCTCTGATCGATGTCATTCCTCGCATGCCTGCTTGGGTGCATGCATTTCCCTTCTTCTCCTCATCCCTCTGTAACGTGCCAATGTCATTCATGCATGCATGTCATGCCATCCCATGGCCCTCGTCTCATGCCATCTCATGCCATGCCATCTAATCCCATTTCTCCCCTTTGCCTCCAATCCCATGCCGCGCCATCCCTCCATGCAAATGGCTGCAATGCATGCGGAGTAAGTGAGGGCCTTCATGTCCACTCGTCTCCTCATCTGTATCCTCCCATCCCGCACGTACCATGCCATCCCATCCCATGTGCTTGCGGAGTACGTGAGTGCATTGGAGCGCCTCTTCTAGGTGGGCTACCCCACCACACGACTGGAGATCCTGTGATGTCATTGCTGCTGTACAGGCTGTATGGGGCTGTGCAGGCCTAGGCACAACCCAACGCACATGAAGCGCTGTGATGGCACTGCTCACGAGTCATGAGGCATCACCTTATGCTCCTGTGTGCTGCTGTCACAAGCCACCCGCTGCAATCGTCCCCCTTGGCACACCACACCACGCACACAGCCAGGATTCCCACTGCCAGCAGCTCCTCTCACACTTGCTCCAGTGGAAATAGCTCATGCACTAGGCTGCGCGAGGACTCCCCTGATTCCCATCTACTGTACACAGTTCTCCAACCAGCTATGCCATTCCTGCAAGTGGAAACTAGTTAGCCATGTTCGGTATCAAGTTGGAAACCAAAGTACGTGTTTGCACTTGCAGCTGCACTAAAATGAAGCCTCGCCACTGCAAATGTCCTTAGTATTTGCATCACTACTGCAGAAAGCATCACTACTGCAGAGAGCATCACTACTGCACAGAGCATCACTACTGCAGAGAGCATCACTATGGCAGAGCATGAATGGCCAGTATCCCTAGCAACATGAAGCATGTAACAGGGCGAGGAGGTCAGCGCCTTCCCTTGAAGTTTTTCTTGCTGCCCTGACGCTTTTTCTTGTGCCTCTTGCCGTGCACTCGTCTTGACCCGCTTGTATCCTCCTGGGCATCATGGGCCCCAGACTCATTGGGAGCATCAGCAGCACCATGGCTGCTGCCAGCAGGTGCTAGCAGCTGCCGTGCCTGTGAGTGGGTGGACACTGTGCCCACCTCCCACGCCAACCTACCAGACGGGGGACGGCACGGGCGGGGGGACGTGGATTGATTCGTCAAATTTCAGAGAAGCACGGACCTGGTTTGCAAGCATGCGCGGGATGATGGTGTGCATTTTGAAGCGGGAACAGAGACGTGCGGGTTGGTGCAGTGAGGAAAAAGAGCAAAAAGGGGAGGCAACAGAGGGAGGGGAAGAAGGGGAGAGGGGAGGATTGAAGGGGAGGGTTGGGAGAAGATGGGAGGAAAGGGGGGAAGGGTAGGGAAGAGGAGGAAAGGGAAAGAAGGGGAGGAAAGGAAGGGAGAGAATTAAAGATGCATGAGTGGGTAAAATGGGTCAAAGCATGAGAGGGTAACATGCGTGCGTGCATGAGTGGGTAACATGGGGGAATGCACAAGTGGCTAACATGGGTGAATGCACGAGCAGTCAACACCAAGCAGTTGAGCAGCCAACACCCACCAGTTGAGTAGCGCAATGAGTAGGAGAGTGAGCAGCAGCAGGAACAACACATGGTACAGCATCTCACTGCTGCCACCTTCCACTGTGCTGCCGCTCCCAGTCCCACTGCTGCTGCTGTCGCCCACAGGTGGGCGGGAGTAGCGCCAGGCAGCGGGCAGCAGGGCGGCGAAGGAGAGCAGCAGCCCCACCAGGATGATGTTCATGAGCACCAGTGTGGGGCGCTGAGGTGGGGGAGAGATGGGGGGTGGGGAAGAGATGGGGGGGGGGGGATTAAGGTTGCTGTGAGGGAGGGTGGGTTCCTTGAGATGGTGGAGATGGAAGAGATGGCAGGATGAGGAACAAGGAGGGAAGAGGGAGTGCAATTGTAAGAAATAGAATGTGGGGACAGTGAAAACGATGACAGGAAGCAAGTGGCAGGTATGTAAAGTAGGGGGAACAAAAGACGCATCATAGAAAAGTGAAGGCCTTGAAAACGATTGCGGAGGACTTCAAAATCCAAAAAGCAGCAAAATACAGGCTTTGAACCTGACGTGAGTCGAACAGGCAACCTTCTGATCTGAAGTCAGACACGCTTCCATTTTATCTGCAGTGTTATATTTGTACAGAGGATACAAATCAAATCAAGTACAATCAGATGACTAACGAGCAATACCTACTACCCTAGGTTGAGACCCCAATGAGGTCTCAAGAACCAACACCAAGGTACGCAAAATCAGCCAAGGAAGGTGGGGTGGGTTCTGGTGGCGGGAAAGGTGTGTCAGTGCTGTAGCGAATTTGTGTTTGACGGTAAATGGTCCTGGCCTGCTCGCGCCGATGCACCAGAGAAATCCTCTTGAAGTAGCTCGTCTCCAAAAGCTCTGGGATAAGGTCGGATGTACCACCCATGTCCCGGAGCCGTGACGCTCCCCGTCGGCTGCAGTCCTTGATGAAGCTAAGGAATGACATACCGAAGCAACCAAAGGTTTCAAGGACAAGAGGAAGGAGTTTTACGTCTGGTCGGTGGTGTAACGTGGGCGCATACAGGGTCCGCTTCTCGGTTTCGCGAGCAGATGCGGCTGAACCGATGACGGATGCAGTTTTGGAGTTTGGGGGGCCATTCTGGGGATCTGCGACCGAAATATCTAATGCCCATGTTGTCCCCGAGCTGATGCTACGGCAACTGATGTCGGGGCAGCGTCCTGCAAGGTGGGAATCCTCCAGCTGCACAACATAATCAAGCTCCGACGTGATGCGGTGAACCTCATGCTTGATAACGTCGTGAACCCTGGTAGGCTTTTTAGCAGATGGACAGCAGAGGACATGTGAGACGATTGAAGGATCCGTGAATGACGAGCCACAAGTGTATGTCCGGGTGGATGTGAGGTGTGGAATGGGGAGACCAAGACGAATAGCAGCTGCAATGCACCACTCTGTGGATGAAAGCTACATGTGCTGTGAGAATGGATGGGAAGTGCTGTCGAATGGATGGATGAAGTTTGGATAAGGCTGTAGGAATGCATGAGTCAAGGCGATCCATGGTGTCTGAAGTGATTAAGGGGCGGAAAATGTGAGAGCCGTTGATGGTGAAGCATGAGGAGAGCAGTGAAGCTGTCTGTGCCCAATTGCACAAGTAACTGAGAGTAGCAGTTGCAGCTGATGATCGGAGGCCAAACCCTCCAAGGCGAATGGGAAGGCATGTCTGTTGATGTGCTGTGGCAGTGTGGTCAAATGTAGGGGGCCAGTAGTCAGAGCCAATGAGGCGAACAAAATGGTCGAGCAAGCTGTTGTCCCAGTCAGTATAGAGCTCATCTATCTCAGGGAAGGGTGCAACAGTACGGAGGAGGAATGAGGGACGAGCGGAGACGCAGAGAGAAAGGATGCGAGAGGCAGTCTGAGGATCATGAAGGTCATGTAGAAGAGGCAGAGATGAGGAGAAAGAGTGCAGCTTGTCCTGTACTGTAGAGATGATGTGGGTATCTGAACCAATCGGAACTCCCGCAACCGTGATACCGTTAAGGGCAATGACGATGTCTGATGGAGGTGTGAGGTCTGAAGGGAGGTCCAAGGGGGCCCAAAGGGAGCATTTCGATGGTTGCACCCGCAGGCTGAGGCTGTTGAGACGAGCTGTAAGTGCTGTGTAGGCAGGAAACACCTCCTGCGCAGGGTCATCCGCGTAGGAGGTGATCAAGATTGCTGGAGATTGCCGCTGAATGGGGCGAATGGCTAGATGCTGGGTAAGGGCGAACAAGAATGGCCCACATGGATCACCCTGTCAAACACCTGATGATGACTGAAGCATTTCGATGAGTGGGCCGCTGCGGTAATGGAGTGGAGAGGGGGAGGCGTAGAAGAGGCGGAAGAAAGGGATGAGGCTGGAGAACGGGGAGTCTCGCAGAGCATTGAACATAGCGGAACGACTGAACAAGTTGAAAGCATTGGCCACATTCAGTTCCAGCACGACCCAGTCTGGGTGGAGAGAGAGGGCTGACTGGACTGTGTGGGCCATAACCTCGATCCCTGCAGAGACAGTGACCCCAAACTGCAGGGAGGGAAGGAAGAAATCCCTAATCTGCTGCTTGAAGTGAAGAATAATGCAACGAGACAGCAAGCGCGGCAGTATCTCGCCGATGGCAATGGGGCGGACGCCTCCTTGCGGCTTCTGAAGGGCGACAAGAGTAGATGCGGTGAAGAACGGCCGGACAGTTTGAGGGAGGGAACGCGACCAATCTCCGCAATGCGCGAACCGCTTGGCCCTGTTCAACCGAGCAAACGTAGATGTGGACCAGGCGGACGATAAATTGTGCGGTCGAGATGCTGGTACAGCAGCAGCGACAGCCTCGTTGAAGAGGGGGAGCCAGTCGCCTTGAATGAAACGGCGCGCATAGGCTGCACATTCCGCCGTAGCTGAATGTGAGGAAGAAGTGGTTGAAGAGCGAAGCATGAGTCGGGGGAAAGCGAGGAGGAGGAAATGAGCTGCAGGGTATTGAGGGAAGATGACAAGACGACGAATTGGTATGAGTAAAGCATCCAGGGCCAGCAAGAGGGCTCGCGGCGGGATCCGGCGCAGTAGTGGGCCAGGGGTAACGGTGGGACTAAAGAATGTCCCCCAGTCCCAGCTTATGACAGCTTCCCATGTCTGCTGAGAAATCTGTGGAGGTGCTGAAGAGGATGGGGAGGTAGCGGTGGCACGAGGAGGAGGAGGGCGGGCTGCTTCTTGACGGGCTGAGTCATTGCGGGAGCAAGCAGAGAGGTGACGAGTGTAGCCACCCGAGGTGGTGAAGTTGGTGCGGTTGCAGGTGGAGCAGCGAAATCTCGGGCCCGGAACCGAAGTGGGTGAAGGAGGGGAATCAGTGGCCGCAGCAGGGTGCGAAGCAGGCGTGGAAGCAGGAGGAGGAGAAGAAGCAGGGAGGAGGCTGCAAAGCAAGTTCGGCTGCAGGTTCAGGATGGCGAGAGGAGTGTTGTTGGGGAGAGGGTGAAGTGTCTGTAAGGACTTGTTGGAGTACGTTTTTCTGCTCCTTTGAAATGAAACGGGGTGAGGTTGATGATTTGGGGTGTTGAGACGAAGAGGCTGGGGGGTGTGGAGCAGATGATTCCGGCAGTGGCGAGGAAGTGTGTGTGACGGCTGGTATAGTAGGGCAAGATGGTGAGCGTGGTGTCTGTGGAATCGGAAGAGCTGCAAAAGCTGGGGCTGAGCATGACCGATTAGGAGGACGAGATGGGTGCGGGTCCGAGTCTTCAGGCATCCTGTCCCGCTTGCGAGTCAGCAAATATATATATATATATATAGTGATGAGAAAGAGAGTTGTGCAGTGCAGCTGGCGGTGTGCCCAATGTCACGAATTCGCGATGTTAGCGCAAGCAAATGTACTAACGAGACACAACACGGATATCGTGGGTAGGCAGGACTGGTGGTGCCGCTGCCGAGGTTCGTGCTGGTGCTTTCAGGAAACGAAGCAGGTGCAAGTGGGTTCGTGTGTGGGGGGGGTTACTGTTCGAGAGGGTGAGGAGGCTCGCGAACGTGTTGTCTGAATTTACAGCAGAAACCACGCCGCCGCAGGTGAAACACCTGCCCGTGTCAAACGCTGTCGAGACTGCCAGGAGGGCTAAGCTACAGCCCGAACGTGGAGAACCGCTGTCAGGGAAGTGGCGATACTGGTTTCGCGCAGCGTGCAACGGCAGGAAAAGGAGTCGTGCCGTGCTGCAGATTGAGGGGTCGATCGGCGGGCTATGGAAGGCCTCGTAGCCTGAGCCTTTTCGCTACTAGACGTAGGTAGTGAGTTCTTGTTGCCTTACTAGCGCGCGCAGCAAGACGAACAACTAATTTTCGAGAGCTTGAGAGCGTTTTATACGAGCGCCAGCGAGAAAGCGTGCGCAGCAGTCAAACTACTAATCTTCGAGAGCTTGAGAGCGTTTTATACGAGCGCCAGCGAGAAAGCGTGCGCAGCAGTCAAACTACTGATTTTCGAGAGCTTGAGAGCGTTTTATACGAGCACCAGCGAAGCGTGCGCAGCAGTCATCGCCGCATGCTAACACCAACACCCCTCACGCAATGATGGATTCCATGGTACACAGCACGCCCCAGGCTCACGTTGAGTCCGGGCGTGATAGCGCCGATCGCCACAGCCGACAGCCACCCCATCCGCTCCTCTCCCGCGCCCCCCTGCTGCCGCCGCTCCCTGCCGCCTCCCATGCTGCCGCGCGCGTGCGACTGCTGCTGCTGCGTGAACGACCGCCCCATCCCAAAAATGATGGGAACTGAACCTACTACGAAGCAACTTCTCATTTACTCTGTCGTTGGTGTGGTGTGGAGAAACCAACGTTTCAGTTTCTGGGAAACATACCTAGCGAGGTTGGGGTGTTCCGAACCTAGACATTCTGCCTAGTTACTTGTAGGTGAGAACGAGTGTCTGATCGGCGAGATCACCGATCGCTCACTCGCTACAAAAAATTCGCGCTGGAAACATTGCTCGAGGTGTGTCTCAAGAATGCCGTAAGTACCTCCCACAGACACTTCGTGATTTACTATGCGGATTGCTCGGGCACACAATGACATAGGTGTCGCAGTCTCTTCACAATGCTCAGGGAGAATGTCTAGGGTTTCGACAGACATTGTAACACCAGTGCCACACTTTAGCGCGTACGCTGTCACGTTAATGTGATTCGTGGGTGTAGCCTCATGATGCGAGAGTGTTAGGCCCGACGGCCTAAGTCCGCTAAAGAATTAGCGGGGTCGACTAAGTCGAGGATGAAACGCGGCGGAAGACTTTGGCGAAAGAACTATTGGCGAAATAGGCGAAGAAGTTACTGAGTAATTGAAGAAGAGTTGAATGAGAATTGATTGATAATGGCAAGTACAAGCAAGGTTTATATAGCATGGAAGAAACAAGGTTGGAAAGTGGAATGTGGGACCAAGAATTGGAGTGCAAGAAAAGTAGAGTGCCACGTGGCACTAGAGAATCTGAGAAGATAAGGATAATGGTGACTAGGAATGTACTGTTCGGAATGAACAGTAAACACCCCTCTAACACTACCCCCCGCCCAAGGAGGCGACGTTCGCGGCGCCTGCAGACTGAAGGTACGCTTGGAGGCAAGCGTTGTCAGGAGACAGCGAGGACGAAGGAACCCAGCTGTCGTCTGCTGCGTCGTAACCACGCCAACGAACCAAGAAGTCGATGAAAGTGACACCCTCCTGGAGACGGCGACGGTGCCTGAGGATGCGCTGGATCTGGTAGTCGGGCTCGTCGGTGTCAACAGCTACCGGCAGTGGAGTGCGATCACGGCCCGAGAAGGTGGCATTGGGATCGGTGTATGGGCGAAGGAGAGACACGTGGAATGACGGGTGCATGCGGAAATGTGCGGGAAGGCGAAGGCGATATGCGACTGGACCTAGTGCGCGCTCAATGACGAATGGACCAATGAAACGTGGACGAAGCTTGCTGTCCTGTGGCAGTCGGCGGTTGCGGCTATCCAAGAGAACACGGTCGCCGACTGCGAACGACACCTCACGACGACTACGGTTGGTGGTGCGTGCCATGCGTGCATTTGCGAGCTCAAGGTGCTTCCTCACGTGATCATGAATGAAGGTGAGATGCTGGTGGAAGTTGTCCGCACGAGGGACTGTGGGTGTGAGATCGACACGAGTGGGGACATTGGGGTGCTGACCGTAAAGTGCAAAGAACGGTGACATGCATGTGGCGGAGTGGTGCGTGTTGTTGTAGGCGAACTTTGCCATGCTCAGCTTCTTGTCCCATGCGGCTGCGTCGTGCATCGTGATGCTGCGAAGGATCTGCTCCAAGGTCTGGTTCACACGCTCGGTCTGTCCGTCTGTCTCTGGGTGGTACGCAGACGACATGGCTAAGCGAGTCCCAAACAGTGCGAAAAGCTGCTTCCAGAACTTCGAAGTGAAACGAGGGTCGCGGTCTGAGATGATGGAATCTGGAACCCCGTGCCGTCGGACTACGTTATCTACGAACAGCGTCGCGGCTTCCTCTGCTGTGACCTTGCCGTGCGTGGGGATGAAATGCGCTGCTCGAGAAAACTTATCCACTACTACGAAGATGGCGTCGTGACCCCTAACTGTGCGCGGTAAAGCCATGATGAAGTTCATGGTAACTACCTGCCAAGGGCGGTCGGGCGGTGGAATCGGCTGCAAGAGTCCTGCTTTGCGCTGGCGAGAGGACTTCGTACGCTGACACGTGTTGCACGAGCGAATGTAATCCTCTACGTCTGCTGCAAGCCCGGGCCAGTAGTACGTGCGACTAAGCGTCTTAGCCGTCTTATCTGCTCCAAAGTGCCCTGCACTAACTACGTCGTGCGCCTCTGAGAGAAGGAGCTGTCGAAGAGGGCGGTAGGCTGGAACCCAAATCCGTGTGGTACCCTTCCGTATGTAGACACTACCCTGCACCTCTGCTCCTGCGGGCGGCTGCGGTGTGAAGTCGGGATCTACTGTGTAACCGTGCTCGAAGAGTGCTGTGAGAAGTGGGTGGCCAGCAGTGACTGTGAGACTGGCGAGCTGACAACTAGGGCGAGTGAGCGGATGTGCTGGGTTGCGCACGCCTGGCTTGTACTCTATCCTGTAGTGAAAGCTCCCTTCCATGAACTCCATCCACCTAGCCTGGCGACGACTCAGCTGCGGCTGCGACTTGAGGAAACGAAGCGAACAGTGGTCCGTGCGTATAACACTATCTGCCCCCTCTAGGTAGCACCTCCACACCTTATACGCATGGATGATCGCGAGCGCCTCCTTGTCGTGTATGGGATAGCTCAACTCCGCTCCCCTAAGCTTACGCGACTCGTACGCGATCGGCTGCAACCCGCGTCCCTGGTCCTGAAGAAGCATTGCTCCTATGGCCTGATCGGAAGCGTCGGTCACTACAACGTATGGGCGAGTGGGATCAGGGTACGACAGTGTCGGTGAAGACGTGAGCGACTGCTTCATCTGCTCGAACGCCTGCTGCTGCGCTGGACCCCAAACGTACTCTACGCCCTTCCGAAGTAGGTCGGTGAGTGGACTAGCGATCGATGCGTAACCCTGAACGAAACGACGGTAGTAGTTCGCGAAACCGAGGAAGCTCTGCAACTCCTTGACTGAGGTCGGTGCTACCCAATCCTGTACTGCTGCGATCTTCTTCGAGTCAGTCCTAATGCCACTAGCGGATACAACGTGTCCTAGGAACTCGACCTCTGGAAGGAAGAACTCGCACTTCGACTGCTTAGCGTATAACTGCTCCCTCCGTAATACCTCGAAGACCTTCTGCAAGTGCTGCACGTGCTCATCTTTCGTCTTAGAGAACACTAGGATGTCGTCTAGGTAAACGACAACGAACGACCCTAGGAACTCGGAGAGGACTGTGTTCATGAGCGTCTGAAACGTCGCTGGGGCGTTGGTCAATCCGAACGGTAGAACCCTAAACTCATACAACCCCTGCTTCGTACGAAACG